GTTATACAGATAGCGCAAAATGAAGATCTAAACTAAAAGAGATCTAAAGAAAGATAACCCAATCAAAATTGTTACATTATAATTAATAAAAAATTTAAGCGTTGCATTATTTTTGATTGCCACTGTAGTTTTATTTTTCTTTTTATATATTTAATAAACTAAAATTATATTTATTTATTTTAATATAATAATTTTTTAAAATAAATATAAATATATTTTTCATAAAAAATTTAAAATATTAAAAATTTAGAATTTTATTTTAATTATTATTAGTAATATTATATTATTTAATTTTTATCTATTATTAAAATAAAAAATTATTTTTATACTTATCTTTATAAGTTTAAATTTTTTTTCTAATTTAATTAAATTATATATAATAATTATTCAGAATTTTTAATATAATGTATAAAATAATGAAAAATTATCAAAATTATTTAATAATTTAAATATATCTTTTTTATAACTTATAAAATAAGTTTGATTTAAATATTTTATAAAATTATTATCAATTATTAATTATTATATAGTAAAACTGAATATAATAAAATCTGAATATAATGAATTTTGACTATAATAAGTTTTTTCAATATTTCAAAATCTTATTTAATAAAGTTTTCTAAATATAATAAAATTAATTAAGAAATTTGATTTTATTAATTTTTAGTAATATATTATAGAAATATATATTTTAAAATTAGAAATATTAATAAAGTACTTCAATTTATATTAAAATATCTAGTCTACTTTAAAATAATTCTGGAATAAATTATATATTTTAATATAACTGGGGTATTTTATTAATAATTCTAGTTAAAATAGAGAATTTTAGCTTTATTTTAAGCTAAAAATAAAAAATATCTATTAATAAAAATAAAAACTTTTATATATAATAAAAATATATGATTTATTAATTCTAATTAATAAAAAATTTAAGCATTATATTAATTTTGATTGTCACTATATATATTTTTTAATTTATATTATATTATTTTATTGTATTATAATTAATATTTGATTTTTTTTTCTAAATATATTAAAATTAAATTTGCTTTTTATTTATAATAAATATATTAATTTAAATACTATCTATAAAAGCTTTTTAATAATAATTTCAACTATATTAATCTATCTTATATCAAAAAATATTAAATTATAAAAAGAATTAATTATATATATTCTGATCATATAATTGTGCTATTATAAAGTAAGCAAAAATTTCAATTTAAAAAAACAAATATATACTAGCCTGACAAAGTTTTTTATTTATTATATAAATTAAGCGCTATCATTGCAATCAAAGTTGAATCTTAAATAACTTACAAGATACTTTGTTAATCTATAATCAATTTCACGAATATGTTGTTTTAGAACTAAAATTAATAAAAGCTGATTATTTAAAACAAAACTATGCAAGCAAAATCTGCAAGTAATATAATTATCTATTTTAATTCTATATTTTCTTTTTGTCGCTTTTAATATTTTTATGCTATAATTTTAATAATTTTTGAATATTAGCTGATTTGTCATATATTTTAATGACTGAATTTTGAGAGATGGGATTCATTGTACTATAAATTATTAAATCCTTATTATCGAATAAATTATGACACTAATGTTCTCTTAAAAATAATAATAAAGTGCAAGAATTAAGAAATTTTTAGTTAATACTTTACAATTAATGCTATAAAAAAAAGATTTTCTGCAGTTTACCTGAGATCAGACAATTTTTGAAGAAAAAAGTGAAATATATATAACTTTAACAATGATTTCTGCGTCTTCAAAAAAATTAATCTCATTTAACAATTATTTCATTGATATTAAATTTTTTATAGTCTGATTAACTTTCTGATTCAAGAAATTTGATTTTATTAACCATTCCAAAAATATCCTTTTTCTCCTTCTTTCAACAATAGATTGTAATATAAATTCAATTGAATAACCGAAAAAATATGGTAGATCCTTGATAAAATTAAATTTCTTGGTTTTTTGAATCAATGATTTATGTTTTTTTTGGTACTTGCAAAATAAAAAAATCTATTAGTACTTGGTTGTCTAATAAAATTTTCTCTATAAATGCATACCCTTAAGCGCTTTCTCTTCGGAAGTATTTGCTCTACACGTGCATAATTTTCGTAAATATAGAATAGATTATCTATTATCAATGGCAGATCGATATGCACTAATGACTATTATTTCTTTTAAGTATGCAAGCTTTATTCGAGAAAAAATGGTCTGTTCGCCTAATGATTAATATCTTACATACACGTACTACGTTATTTATGCAAATCATACGAGTTATTTAAATGTACAGTTATTGCCGGATTCTAAGGGTACATTTGGAAGGATTTTGATTTAGCTTTTAATTAACCGTTACGATGTCAGTTTATTTGAAAATTTCTTACAGAATCGAAGAAGCTGTAATCGGCATGTAAAATAAGATTGTTACCGCAAATTACGCTCAAGTTTACGATTGGTAAAACGAGCTTTTGTTCTCCTTCCTCCGATATGAGCGATGATGAAAGCCAATAATTTCCGGTCACAGTTAATGTCGTGATCTGTGTCATTCTGTTGTTAATATCGTTTAGTTCATATAACGTTAATTTATGTTAAAATAAGCAAAACATATTATCATTATTATCGCTATACATGTACATATATTACGTTAGATCTTGCATTTAATCTCACTAATTATTTTGAGCTAAATTACTGTTGATAGCACAAAAAACTAGGAACACCGAAAAAAAAATGCATTGTGCATGTACTGTACTATGTGTCTTAGTTCGGAATGTCAAAATCGAGACAGAGATAAAAAAATAACGTTGAAACTTTATTTTTGGGCTTTATTAAAGTCACGAATAATATTACGGAAGCGATTTTGCATATAAAAGAAAAGAATGAAAAGGTAGTAAAATTTATTTTTTGAGATACCGATATAGTTATGGAACATTTCGCGAAATCAATTGACATCACTACGCCCAGCACAAAATCAAATTGGACAGTCATAATATGTTTCTTTCTTACTCTTTACATCACGCGATTTTATTATCGGTACTTTACTCGACCAGATAAATGCCCCGGTCCTATTCCACTACCACTCGTGGGCAATCTGTTTCAGCTACAGAGAATCGAAAAGATTCATCACAAGTTACATCAAAGGTATGGCGATATCTTCGAAATGTATATGGGCAGTGAGCGATACGTATTTTTTAACCGCGGTGGAGGTGATTTATTTGATAAAATTGCGAGCAACTCGACAAAATCAAAATATTTCAATCGGGTAAACATTAACATTCATGTAAAAAAAAACATATCTTCCGTCTGTATCATTAATATTCATTTTCATCGTTTTAATAGCTTCCAAAAAGTGAAAATCTCGAAAATTTAGGCCTAGAAAAATCCGGTATAGTAGTGAATCGTGATCCATGTAATTGGCGAGCGAACAGAAAACTACTCTCAAACATTATAACGTCCACGAAATTTCTTCACGGTATCGTCATAAAATGCCAGGACTCATTCCTTGAAGCAGAAGGATGCTGGACGCAGCTAGGTCACAACACAAAACTCGATCTTTCAGAATGGTTAGCTCATTTAGCCACGGACATAATCATTGAAGTTGCAATTGGTCAACGTGCGTATTCCTTAGCGTCTTACTATAATACACTTTGCTCTAAGTTCTTCAAGAATGACAATAAAAAGAAAAGAGCAAAATTACCTGCATCGCAAATAAAGCATTCCGAAGGTTTTAACAAAAATATTATGGATTGGCCTATTTCGTTGTTTTATATTGCGTGGATTCCTTCTTGGATAAGACATTACGTGCCGGTGTTTAGTCATTTTGATAGAAAATGTAAAAACAATTTAATGTGGTTAAAAAATGAGATGGAATCAATAATTACTAGAACACGAAATGAAATAAACGACAATAACGAAAAGGTCTTGGCGAAAAATGATCTTTTGACTTTATTAATGACAGAGACCGTCAAGAATGATAAAACCGCGTCGCCGTCCATAGAAGAGATTTCAGAGACTATAATTGAAGTTTGCGTAACCGGAACAGATAAGGTGTGTGTGTGTCTTTATGTTTTGCATAACGAAACTCAAAGCTTTCATTATTAATCTAGTATTTGAAAACCTTTAGATTGCCGCAACTTTTTGTTTCCTGATTTATTGTCTTGACAGAAACCCGCACATAAAAGAGGAACTTTTAAGAGAGTTCAAAAATGTATTAGGAGAAGATATTTGTCGCTCATTTACATATGCAGATTTAGAAAAAATGCGATATTGTGAAGCTGTAGTAAAGGAAACATTAAGATTGATGCCAACTGTACCATTTATACCAAAAGTTGCTAATGAGGATGACGAGATCAATCAATGTAAAATAAAGGTAAATATCTGTTGTTTCTCTTGCAAAAGTGAATTTTTTATTCCTAAAATTTTCCTTTCAAACAAAAAAAGGCCGAAACAACCATCTGGCTAAATGTGCAACAAGCACATTTAGCCGATTGGTACAACCCAACAGAATTCAATCCTTCAAGATTTCTAAACGATTCGTCAGAAAATGACAAGTATTCAACAAAAAACTTTGTTCCTTTTGGCGTTGGTGCGAGAATATGTCCGGGGATTTCGATGGCCATTACAGAGTTGAAGGCTTTAACGATATTGATGTATCGAAAATATGATGTTAAACTGGCTAATCCGTCCAAAGAATTGAATGTTACGTATGCCGCTATTAGACAATGTCGTGATTTTAATGTTTATGTTACATCAAGAAATCAGACCTTGTCTTGGAAGACTAGTACAAAATTAATGAATGAATGTGTGTTGATGTAAAAAAAAAAAATTACTTCGATATTTGGTTTCGAAGATCTTAGCGTTTTTTTTATTTTTTTTTTGCTTGTTTAGAAAATTGTACACGAAAAATAAAATCAAAAAATTACAAATAAAAGTCTTTTTTTTGAGTTATTTTTACAAAAATTTTATACAAAGAAAAAGAAACTAAAATGGTGTGGTGATGATAATAATGCTATTAATTTACATTGGCTTCTATAATTGTTCAGGGATGGATTTATGAATGTGATTAAAGATCAGAATCGGGTTTAATTTTCTTATAGTAAATCCGGATTTAAACCGGTGTTAAATATTAAAAATAAATCCGGTTCCATATGCATAATTTTAAATGTGTGTGCAGAACGTGCATAATTTTCTTATAGTAATCCGGTTTTAGATATTAAAAATAAATCCGGTTCCATATGTATAATTAAATCTGTGTGCAGAATGTGCAGACTGCACAAAAGCTTGCTTTGTGTAGTGACTGCGGAGTTCTTTAATCTGCACAAATTCTAAAGTCTGCATTTTATAATGATAACAAATAAAAGATTAATCAACTAATACGAATTCGTCATCAGCCGGAGGAGTTGCCCAAACCGATGCGGATGTTTCCTCGTTTTGATGCGATTCTGCCGCCTGTTTTAATTGCTGCATCTCATTTAATAAAGCTTCTTTTTCTTCAACAAATTGTTCGCTCTGAGCCTCAATTTGATCCTTATACAATTCAATTTGCGCAGACGCTTGTCGTTGGACTTCAACCAGTTTTGTTTCTAGTTCCATCTCACGTTGCTCACCACGTCGCTGCTGTTCGCGCGTTTCGTTGATCAATTCACTCATCTTCTTTTTCAGTAGTTCGTTTTCAGTTTGTAGTTTAGTAAGGGTGTTAAGACCGTCTTTATTTTGATCCTCTAGTAAATCTCGTTCTTCAGAGAGATTACTAAATTTCAAATTGAGGTTTTTCAGTTCCAATTGGAGTCTTTCGCATGTCTGTGCTAGTTCGGATTGTTGTTGTGAGACTTCTTGTTCTTGTTTTTTTTGAGATTGTTTCCCGGCTTCTAATTCATCTAATAGAAGTTCACAAGTTTGTTTCAACTCGTCTCGTTCTTTACGAAGTTGCGCTTTTTCTGGTTCACAATTTGAGGAACCGGAGCGCCAGCAACCAGAAGTCATTGATTGCACTACATCATACCCGTCAATTGATGTATTGTCAGCGGAAGACGGCTTTTCGGCGGAAACGAGCAATGGCAAGACGACATCTTTTGAAGTCTCAAAAGACAAGTGATTTTTAGGCCGTAATAATACTTTGGCTTTACTAACGACCTGTTCTTCACCATCAAGTCCAACCATTGTAATCAACGGAAAATAGCAGAGATCAATCTGGTATTCAGAATCTTCGTCATCGTCAAAGTAACCAGCATCCATCGTTTTACGATCCAAAATCGTGCCGGAACCAAAGAACCTCACCTCTTTGATATCCAAAATTTTGAATTGATAAAAGAGTGATGTTATTTTAATGGCAAGATTTTCGGAGTCTAGCTTGATTTTCTCGGGCGATACCAGACTTGTACGATACTTATCCATCTCTTTGAGGACAAGTTGTTGAATTTCTCTGTAGAGTCGTTCCGAGTTTTCGATACTGTAAAGATTGATCGATGAGAAGATATCGTACCGTATTTTGTGTGACAACGCGAGCATGAATTCGTTATTGGTGTTCTTCGAGGGGCGAAGATTCGTCATCAAGTTTAATAATTTATCGGCGGCGGACAGGATTTTTAGTTCTAATTTTGACTCATTACTCAATATCTCGTTGGTTCCCTTGTTGTCCACAATGAATGGTTGTTGATGCTGTTCCTGCTGATCATTGAATTTATTCGTCAACACACGAAGTACTGATTCAATCAAATGACGCTGTAGAGCAGCGCCTAAATGATTTTTTGAAGCTTTGCCATTGCTTCCAGTGGCAGGCACAGGTGTAAGATAGTTGAGCAACAAATTATTCGCTGCACGTTCATTAACAATCACGTTTCGTCCCTTGACAAATGCGAATACATGAAGTAAATTCTGCAATGTTGCGACTTCTTGTGCTAATTTAGATTTTTTCTCTTCTTCGCTAGCGTCAAATTTTAGACTATTTTTTTGGGAGAAAGAAGAGGAACGAGTCGAAGAGGGGAATGTTCGTGTGTGCAATCGACGATTTTCCCCTTGTAATTCCTTGATTTGTTGGTTAAGTTCAATGTATAGCGGGTTGTTTTCCATTTTAAATAATAAATATTATATGGTTAGGGAAAAATTTAAGAGAACTACCAAAGTTATATGGTTAGGGAAAAATTTAAGAGCACTACCAAAGCTGTAGTTGTGTATTAAAGAATGGATGAGAGCGTATCTATCTAAAGTATAAATAATAACAATAAAGAGTACAATCAAATAATGAGATTGCCGAGTTAATAATAATAAGCAATCAAATCATTGTGCGTACTCGAATGCGTAACCCGTAACCTATAACAATAAAGTGACGTTGCACAAAATGTCGAATCATTCACTTTTACGCCATCTTGGATGACGTGTATGTTGTCGTCATCATTCTCATCATTCTTATAGTACCTGTTAGATCAATGGCAAAATTGTATGACAAACAAAAAGTTCTCGGAATCAAAAAAGTCTAAAAAGTTTTGTTAAAAATCTCCCCTTGACCCATTTCAGGGTATTTTCTCTTCTGTATCGATACGATTATAATCTTATCAATGATGGTTTTCTACGTATTATCCATCATGCTATGTGTGACAGTCTGTGCCATTGTTGCAAATTACGTGCATTTTAGAGGTGTTATCGTATGAATATTCTTGTAAATAATACATGGCTTCTAAATTGAATTACAAATTTCCAAGTAAGTTAAAGTTTCAAATCGAAACTACCAATTTTCTCAAAACGAATGTTTGTAGTTGTTTTAGCGAACAAGGTCATAGATAAAAAGATGTAATATAACCCGAATTACGCATTTAGTTTTAAATATCTAAAGTCCGGTTTAAATCGGATTTCTAATAAGACCTCTACAAGCCGAATACAGTTTATATGATTCGATAATAAAATCACGTAATAAAAATCACGTGTTTTACTGGACATGTGAATCATGAAAAACTTTTATTACATGTATGTACATGAAGTACATGTATGATGCAGATAGTATTGGACATGAACAAGACTTACTATATCAAGATTTTCAATATACCGATAGTAAATACATGTACCTCGTTATAGCAAAGGTCATGACCCGACGACTCTACTATAACAAGACATATCGATATCAAAAAAAATTATTACATTTATTATTAATTTTGTTATTTTCTTTACAAAATAATCAAAAAAAAATATATATATATATATTAAATTTCCCAATACATGTACCTAATAACTTAAAAAAAAACCAAATTCTCACACATAACATTTACTTAGTGTTAGGTATTTGTTCAAGTAGATTTAATTCTCCAATGAACCGTATTTCATCGATTTTGGCTTTAAATCTGTTGAAAGCACTAATCAAAATCGTTTTTCGGTATTGGAAACTACTTTCTTGAGTGCGCAAATTGAAATCGGCACATTTGCCCATGTTGTCTAATTCTCTACCGAATTCACAAAGAAGCTCTTGAACTTTTTTGTGGATCTTCATACTTTGAAGTAAATCTTCGCGCATGAAAACGCAACCGGCGGTTGCGCCTGCGCCTGCGAATGCTATTCCTCCAGCGAGAGTTTTCTATAAAAATCAAAAATGTTTTTAATATAATTTATATAAATTCATAAATGCAATTTCTTACGTTAATCCGGGAAAGCGTTTGCCAATTGCTTCTAAGATAAATTGCAGCGGTAGCTGTTACTCTGAAGAATAAAAAGTATTTATAATTAATGATAATGTACGCATTCATTCGAACGAATTTACTTGACAAAAACACTCACGCAGTCGAAACAGCAAAGCCAACCGTCCAATTTCTGCGCCGAGCTCTAATTCCATGCAATTCATCATCGAGATCTTTATCGACTTTCTCCAAAAGAGAAGCAAAATCTTCTATCTTATTAACAAGATGGCGTAAGTTCACTATAAGATTATAATAACGATAAAAATTATAATTAGCGAATCAACATGTATATGTACATCAATACACTTTACATTTTAACGCTTGCATATCAATCATGGTTTCATTTGATAACGCATCACAGATAGCGTCAATATACGTGTCCATCAAACAAAGTTCGATAATCATTCGTTGTTTATTCTCAAAGCTGATACAATTGATTGTTGTTGATTGATAACTTCGTTTAAGTTGAACCAGACAATGAATCATCATAATAAGTTGCGCAAATACTGGGAAACTAGAAATTTGCTTTAAATCGACGAATTTTATTAATTGAATTACAAATTTCCAAATTATTTAATAATTCAAATATATTTACTTGTTCGATAAAGTTTCCCACTATAAAACCATCTCCACGATCCTCAATCATCAAATTAAGAATGTTGACAAGAAGACTCGCCCATGTCGAGTTAGATTCAACATCTTCCACTGGTCGTAGTGTAATACAAAAATCACCATCTTCAGTGAAATGAACAGTTGGCATCATGTCAAACAGCGTCCCAAGCACGGGAACTACATCATTAATGTTGTCTTTTGAAAACTCGACCAGTTGACCTATTGTACGATCAAATCTTTCGACGTCTAGTCGAGTTTCTTCAGATAAACTGGGAATCGACGAAACTATTTCATGTTTAGCAGAACCCAGTCGTTTCTGCGGTTATTGATAACACAGCAGTATTTAATATTTAATTAAAATAGTGATGATTATTATTTATTCTAATTTACCAGAATGTTCACAGCATCTGAATTGGTTTTAATAAAATTAAAATTATCCTGGTAAAAGACTACGGCGCCTAAAATTTCACTAAGGTTCTCCATATTCTTAGCGTTTAAAAATAAAAATAAAAATAAAAAAACAACAAAATGCCAAACGCAAAAGATGTGGCTTTTTCTACTTTTTTCTAATTCGCGATAAAACAAGTTGTGTTACATTATTGTATGAACTAACGCCAAATAGCGATAGCGGTTTTTGAAAATGTATTATCATTCTCCACTTAACGTTAATGTTAACGTTAAGTTTTCTCTGTAAATATCAGAAATACGTATTCGGTTTTCAGTGGAATTGAGCTTCATTATTGGCCTCGTTTCTGTGCTAATAATTTTAATATTTGAATTACTAAAAATCTAATAAATTTTATAAAATTTACACTTTTTATATCTTTACCTTGTTCGATAAAAAGTTACAAATTCAGTGCGTGGTTTGCAAGATACATTATGGGAGAATCGATAATTTCGACTTGAGCTTTGAAAATAATCTTTTTAGTACTGATTTCCTGAATCAATGGAAATTTACATATCTCGACAATCGCATTATCTTCAATATCGTCCCAAGTGAGGTCCATCGATATATCGTTAACAGGACAGTTTTTTTCCAGCCATACTATTTCGAGAGATGGGTATTGCAATTTTATATTAAAGAAAAGAGTCATGATACATTTTTGAATTGTCTTGACTGCTTTTTCTGTAAATTTGGTTCGTTCTGCGGGATTGATCGAAAATATTTTTTCCATTTCTTTTAGAACTAATTCGTAGATTGAGTTGAATAGCTGGGAATTTTCAATATCAAATTTGCGCGAACTCAATAAATGAAAGATTCGGTGTTGAATTTTAAATTTGGTGAGATTGACAAATTCGTTCGGAATGGGGTGAATTTTCCCAAAAGTTTCAATATTTTTGGATATTTTTTTCATCGTTTCGATGAGCATTTTATCCACTTCTTTTTCATTTTTCATCTTATCACTTGGCGTTTCTGGTTCTTCATTATAATCGATCGCGGCTCCAAAGTGTCCTTCTAAATATTCCAAAATTAATTCAATAACGTGACGTTGCATAACAGCATTGATAATCCCATTCGGAGGTTTTTCATATTCCAACTGGTATTTATCCAAGAGTTTTTTCACCTCTTTTTGGTTGACTTTACGTTTTTTCGCAGTTGTCAAAGTTTGTAGAGCGTTTTTTAGTTCTTTAATTTCGTATTCAAGTTTGATTATATTGCTTTCTTCTTGCAGATTTTTTATTCCGCCAAGCTCGGATTGATAATGTGCAGCTTCTGATTGATAATCTGCAGCTTTTTTATCTAAATCTTCTATTATCTTCTTAAGCAAATCATTATTTTCTTTGAGGTCTCTTTCGGATTGTTCATATTCTCTACTCAATCTGTTAACTTGATCTTTTAATTTTTCATTTTCTTGTTTAGTCTGATGGAGTTCTTTCTTGAGCCGCGCAATCTCCTCTTGATTCGAAGTCGAAGCAGTATTTTTCTTTTCTCCAGGAAAAAAGTTAAAGTAACTCATATCCATTTAGTGGTCGGTTTTTTTCGACAGAAACGATGTAATTATCCGTTATTGTAACATGAGAATCGTATCGATATTATTAATCACAATCCGAATGCAATAAATATCAGTCTTACTATATCAGGAATCTCTTTTAAATCTTTTCTTGGTGTGATCTTGGAACTTCTATTCTGACTCTTAACGTTATGCAAGATATTCGTGTTATTGTAGCCATTGGTATTTATATCGATATGAAATTAAAATATTTTATTTTCCTAAAAATTTCGATAATTAAATATTATGATATAACGTTAACAGACTTTGGAACCACTTATAGTGGTTTTGCATACAGTCATATCGCTAACAATGGTTCTTTCGATGGCATTTCATTGCAAAGGCGATGGTTGGTAATATTAATTTTCATCCTATTAGCAAATTTTTTTGACAATTATTTAAATAATCATGGACTATAATAAGGCCCGGACGAAAGAAAAACAGCATCATAGTAAAATATAAAGCAGACACATTGCTCCAATATGATAAAGACTTGAACTTAATCCATTGGGGATGCGGTGTGGTTGCAGAAAAAGGAAATGCTAAAGGGAAAGCAGCTCAAGAAAAAGAAACAGTAGTCGCTAAATTGTTCAAATTACATTTAGCAAACATAAATAATCCTCCATCATTGCCAGATGGACTTGATTTTAGACAAGCTATCACAGAATATCTTATGAAATTAAGAGAGGCAATAATCTTTCTTTTCTTGAAAATATTTGTTTGTTTTCAGGGTCTAAGTGATTCTTTTTTTAATAGCTAATTGTGGAATCCTGTGATAAGTGTTGGCCTGGCTTAAAATTTCCCGAGCAATTTCGAATAGTTCTCTCAGTGCCCGCTGAATATGGGCCAATTGAGAGGAACGTGATGAGACTATGTGCATACAATGCGAGTCTAATAGAAAGGGAAGGGTCGGCAAATCTTGAATTTACAACAGAATGTAAGTTCTTCAAAATGTAAGTAAGTTTCTAACACTTCGTTTTTTTAACCGACTTTCATTTTTAGCTGAAGCGGCAGCACTCTGGTGTATGAAGCATGCAGATCAATATGATCTACGAGAAGGAGGTTTGTTTCAACGCGCGAAAATAAATTGCAACGTAAAATTATCATAGGTTAAAAAATTTTCATTCCAGATTCTTACCTTGTTGCGGATTGCGGCGGCGGAACCACCGATCTGGCGATTTTCTCGATAACGAATAAAGGTAAATAATTAAAGCTTGTCGCGAGCCGGCCCATATGGCGCTTGCTTTAGTTATACTTAAACAGCTATTCTTCTCTTTTGATTGATACCTTTATAAGATAAGCTCGACGAGATGACTGAACGTTCCGGTGCACCTTACGGTGGATCATATGTTGATCAAAAATTCGTAAAAGAATTTGAAAAGCACGTAGGCAAAGACGTGATAAGACGTCTGCACCAAAAATATTTTTCGCGTTACCTATTTTTAATGGAACATTTTTGCCATCACATCAAATTCGGCTTCACTGGCATCGAAGAAGAGTTCGAAGACATAGACATCGACATCGATGTGGTCTGTCCGGCGATAAAAAAATTCGTCGAAAAAGATAAGCTAGCAAAACTGGAAGAGGACGAATGGATCATAACATTCAATTTTGATGATATAAAACGAATGTTTACTCCGTCGATTAATCGAATTATCGAGTTGATCGATAATCAGATTTACAAGTCGAGCAAGAAATTAACTATCAAGTATATCTTCTTGGTTGGCGGTTTTAGTGAGTCACCTTACTTGCAAAAGGTGGTTAAAGACCACTTCGAGATAGTGGATAATCAAAAAGTTGTTGTTCCTTCTGAGCCACTTACTGCAGTATTAAGAGGCGCAGCATATTATGGTATGCAATGAGAGTAATCTTTTAAGTGTTTTGCTAAAATTTATTGAGTTTGTGCTTTTTGACAGGTCTAAACATGGGCGCATTAAAAATGCGTGTGTTAAAAAGGACTTACGGTCTAAGATTAACTCGAAAGTGGGACGAACTAACAGATCCGAAAACTTACTTGAATGAAGACGGTACCATATACGAATTCGACAAACTCGTTACACGTGGCGAAAAAATTCCAGTCGATCACCAGGTGACACGTGAATATGTAGTGCCAATATCAAAATACAAGAGATCTGGGATAACTTTTCGTGTTTATATGTCAAAACTCGAAGATCCAAAGTATATATTCGAAGAAGAGGTAATTCCGCTAGGAAATGTTTCAATTGTTATCCCCGATGAAGATCTTGTGAATGACAGAAGAGTCGAGTTTTCGTTGACCTTTGGGTCTTTTGAAATCAAAGCCACAGCAAAAAAGCAGAACAAAAAATATGAGGCTTTTTTCACACTTGATACGTGTGATTTATCTCACACGTAATACATGTGGACAACAATAGTAAATAAAATAATTAGTATGATCAAACGATTCGAGTACTATTGATTCTGATATCTTTGCATCAAGAACGTAAAGATAGTTATTTGCACCAATTAAGAATCTTGTAAATTATTACTGTATACATGTATATTAATATGTATAAACTTACTCTGACAAAAGCTAATCCCATTTTTGGATGACATTTGTTATCGATATAAGATATACGAAGATAACTACATCTAATTTCAAATGCAAAAAAGATTATCTTACTTTTGGAGATATTTAGTTGTCTTTCATAACTCATATCTTCCGAATTTTTTTTCCTTACATGTCTATTTTGTGGCGAGTTTGTTGTGCGTTTATGAGCATATGCTGGCTACTTTATTTGCTATTTTTATCACTTTACATGCAGCTCTTAGATCAAATTGGTAATGTTAAAGAAATATCGATATACCGATAAGAATACCATCCACCACATGTGGATCATGTGTACGTAATCAACAAAGTATACCAGATTTTCTCATTGTAATAGACTAAAGTAAACGCGCCAGTTCACTTGAAAAATTTTTTAGTGATAAAATTATCATCAAGATAACGATAACGATAAACTTAATGAGACTGTATTGCTCGCTTATCGTTATCATTTTATAGTTCATACAGTGATTTGGATGCATTTTGAACATAAATAATTAAATTAAAAGCACACACCGTTATATCTTTAAGTGTATATATTAGTAAATAGTAACGATAAAAAAATGGCTATTAGCATGTCATATTATTTACATTAAGTCGAAGTTTACAAGTCACATTTTAGGTTCGTAGATTAAAAAATGATAATGACGATTTTATTTTGTAAACACCTTTAATCCCTAATTGATTCAATGATATTCGAGGCATTCCATGAAAATAACTAGACACGGTCATCAAGCTTTTCATTGTTCTGCTAACGAATAGCTATCATATCATATACTGTGTCCAACAGGCTTTTAGAGTTGTTTCATTCAACACGTGTTGTTATTTGTGATAGTGTTTGTAATTGTTACTGGTTTACGAGAGAGAGGATTAAGTGGTAAAAACAAACACAAATGACTTGCTTGGATGATGAATCGTTGATAGATGACGGTGTCTAGATGAAGGATATAACTGCTGTAATTTTCATCACTCTTGTCAGAAACTTTTATGACCTATATACGTATTTTAAAGATTTATTATTTGAAAGGTCACTTCTTAGTGGGTATACCATATCTTTGCATTTTCCATACTTTCTGTTTCCTCTGTAAAACGTGTTGTAATCTTTTCAATCTTTTATTTATGTTTCTTTTAACATTAAGGTGACTAGTCTTATTGAAGACTGGAATTTCTAATCAGAAGAATTTGAGTCTTTGTCACGTTTAATCCTGGAAGCTTTTAGAGGCTTGAGCCGGGTTTTAACTGTTCTGACAATCAAATTCTGAATTTTCAGAAACTTTCTGACATAGACACAGGAATTCTTACAATCGAATCGATGAATTTTTTAATTGGAAATTCCCGATTACAGGAAATAATCTCTTATGACTTTTATATGAATTTAAGTATCAATCAATAAAAAAAAAGATGAAGGCATAACTGACAATTTGAAGTATTATATTAAAGGCAATACGAAATTCAAGATGAAAATGCAAAAAATTAGGGAGATGAAATTGTTCTTAAAAATGAGTACGTAACTGTTGCATTTTCTTGCTATAAAAAAGGTTATGATTTTTTTTTACTAAAAAACTCCCTCCTCTGTATATACTGCGTATGCGTTAAGCGCACAAAACACATACAATCGATTCAATCTCTAATTTACTTAATTTAATTTGATAAAATAAAAAGAAGTGGAAATAACATAATTATGTTATTTTCACTTAGTCTAGATTATGTATGTGTCATGATTCAATTTTTTAACACAGACTAAGGTGTTGTGATCCAAATTTTATAACACAGACTAAGATGTCATGATCCATTTTTTATGACACAGATTAAGATGTTGTGATATATATTTTATGACAGATAGATAGGTAGATGGCTTGTATACTCTTTAGAAAGACAAATTCAATATCAATAATATTTTAATCACTTATATAAATTTTTGTATACTGGCTTAATGTTTCTGATTGATTTCTAATAAATAGAAATATCTTAATTAGATTATAATATCCTAGATTACTTTTTTTATGATTTTTTATTATAATCCAAATTTGATAATATTATTTGTATACTGATTTAATAATTATAACTGATTTTTATTATAATAAAATAATTAAGATAGATTATATTACTGGATTAATTTCATCATGAATTTAATAATCTGATTATAATTATATTATCATTTCTAGTTAAAGTATATATTATCAAGTTTATTATATATACAGTATACTATATATATATTATCTGAATATATTATATATATACTATCTGATTATGCTATATATATGATATCTAATTATGTTATTAATTAATATTATTAAATATGTATACTAAGTATATTATATAAATATTATTAATAATACTATCATATATATGCTATCAGATTATACTATCAAAAAATATTATTGAGTATATGTAAGATTATTTTGTTAATATTTGTAAACAAGATAAAATGCGATATGAATAAGTTTTAATTTTATTTTATAACTTATGA